AAGGAAGTCTCACGGAGACCGCCCACGGCAGGTTGGAAAAGTCGGTGGGAGATGACGGCTTTGATGTGAGACAGAGGAAAAGGAATCAAGTAGGATTCTGTGATGAAGAGTAAAAAATTTGATTATTTTGATATTGTTAAGTTGAAGGACGATTTACACAGGTATTTTAAAGCAAGATTCATTCAAATTTGTTGTCTGCTGCTCTTGTTAGAAATAATCAAATATTCAGTTTTTTGCTTAATCACCTTCCCTGCTCTTTATATGGCCCAACAATGTTCTAAAATTTGGATGATAAAGTACTTTAATTATTTTATGATATGATTGTCCTCCGTACCCACCTTACAGAAATATTTGGGCTATGAGCAGGAGTATTGCCCAATCCTATATCTTGTTATGTATTTATTGTTGTTATCGGGCATTTCCATTGACTATTTAGCTAAATAACAAATTGATTATGGAAACAATAAAGAAACATCTAAAACAGGATGAAAATGACGATATAAAATTATATACTCAATAGCTTCCTCGACAATGTTGAATTTACTCCTTGATTATGAGTGTGTCTGTATCACGTTGAGCCACCTCACTCAGGGACTCAAGAGTTAAAAGTTAGAGTATTGTAAAGTAAAAAAGTATTGACATAAAATTAATCACTATGTATACAAAGTATCTTATCACTTTATGGAAAAATATAAATATCTTACCACCAAAATTAATAAAGTATTAACTACAAACTTTATTATATAAATTCAAATTAAATTCAAAATTAATCCCAAAAAGATAACACTATTATACACTGCGAAAGTGGAATAAAGATTTAGAAATCGTTTTTTGCCACAAAAGGTGCCACAAAAGATCTCAGCTCGGTTGGTCGGATGTGATATCACCCTTTTTAAACAAGGACAAAAGTCACACGCAATCAAGAAAGATCTACGACAACGTCGTCCGATGTAGTGTGTTAAACCACTAAATAGGCTTTACTAGAGTGTAGCTGCTTGCAATATCAGATCTAAGCACTGTGTAAGTGCAGTAAGGTGCTGTAAGGTGCAGTAAGGTGCCACTTGCTTTATTTGGAATAAAACAGTCTAAGAAAGAGGAGGGGAAAAAGAATGTCAGCATTACTCAGGCTTCTGTTGTCAATTCTAATGCTTATGCAAATTCTTCTCAAGGATCTGAAGCAGCTGTTGCCGAGAAAAAAGATGGAAGAAAAGAGGAAGATATAATATATGAAGATGTCGAAGAATGTGAGATAGCAAGGATAGAGAAAGGATCTGACGAGATTGAATCGGAGGAGAAAGAAAACCAGGATGATGGGAAAAACTCCCCAAATCTAGTATAACTATGAACTAAGAAACCAGTAATACCTAAAAGGAAATGGTTTGCTGGTAGGACAGTAAACTTCATAGCTTAAGTGTGGTGAGTGAATCAGACAATTTTCCTCTACAGCAGATTCTTAGAACTTATTATAAGCATTTATATAGTTGGAGTAGCCCAAAATCTGCCTCTGTTTTTAAGCCACTTGTAAAATGTAAAAGCAGTCTGTAGAGTGTAGACAATAGACATTGTGAAATATTTTTGGATTATTTAGTGCACATATTAGCACATATTTTTGAACCCTGATATTGAACACGAAAATAAATTTATAATAAGAAAACATTAATATTAATGCATTACAGTTTGTATAGTTCTTTTATTCAAATGTTTGATTGTTTCTGAATAGACTCAGTGAAGACAGATTCTAATGGAAATAAATAGAGCACTATCAATAGGCTTGAAGGATTGCAGAAAAGGGCCCTCAAATGGATTCGTAATGATTACGGTGTAAGCTATACAGTATAGTGTAGAGGAAATCTATAATGCCCATTGTAAACAGTTAAATATTCTGCCCCTAAAGTACAGGTTGGATTACCATGATCTCAAGTTCTTTCATTCCCTAGTGCATCAATACCACCCATGCACCACTCTGCCTCAGTACCTTACTTTCTTCTCCGGGTCAAGCCGACTGAGAAGCTCACATCTTGATCACTTATCAGTAATATCTTCAATTCCACCTGGCTCAGCTATATCTAAATCTTACTTTTATCGAGCTCATCTCACTTGGAACCGACTTCCTCTTTCCCTTCGAGATATTATCAGACCAGGTGTGTTTAAAACAGAACTTATTAAACACATCTGGAAGGAACATGTTTGTACTGCATATGTAGATATTGACCCTAGTTCAGATCCTGACAATTATTTTTCTCCTGACTACGGGTAGTGTATTTCTCTATTATTTTTGTTTTTATTTTTTTGAGGTACTCATCACGCATTTTTGCTTAATTCGGATACAATTTTGATTTAGTCTTTTATATTCAATTATTTAAATTTTATCGTTAAAACTTCATTCCATTGGAAATATTACAAATCAGCCAATTGTAATTGAGAATTTTTGGGTTGTGGCAATTATTCTTAAAAACCTAGAAATGCCTCCTAAGTTCACAGCTCATATTATTTGCCCATTTTTCTCCTTCTGCACTTGGGGCCCAATGTAATTGCTCGACTTTTAGACTTTTCATCAGGTCTCTCGAGGCCTTTTGTTTGGTTATTTGGGTGTATTGGTCTCCCCTGATTGTTATCATCGCTGTACACTTGTCAAGGCATTTTTTGGTTTCTCTAGTCCATTTTTAGAAATTCTATACAACATTGATATTGTAATAAATTCTGATGATAATAATTGAAAGATTTCAATAAAAAATAGCTGAATAACGCATCGACATTTCTACGTCATACTCATATTCTAAAATAGTATTAATTCAATTATAACGATCAATATGTACATACAAAATTTGACGACGGAATTTATTTCAAACAAAATATATAACTGTAAAATAGTTATCCACTGTAAAATAGTTTTTAACGAAATCAGAGCAAATATGAACATAAAAATGACAAAATTTTATCAAATAGGGCTCATCTGAAAATTAACGAATAGCGTGACGTCAGACGTGTACAGGAGATAAAAGATTAAAAGAGATAAAAGAAATTAAGCGACAGCAGAAGTGAAATTTAAACGAAAATATTACTACAGGGTGGCCCATAAGTGACTACCCACACGCAACCTCTTAATAACTCACGTAATTCGTCTTCAAATTGCACCAAAATTTCAGAGAGTATAGATATGGGTCAAACTTAGATTTCCTGAAAGTTTCGTAAGCCACGCCCAATTACAGTGGGCGTGGCGTGACACTCCCTCTTTTTCACTATTGTCTTCATAAAATGAGAACGCTTTAAGCTAAGAACTCAAAATTTTTTGCACACATTTGGCTTGATAATTGAAAACCTTTCCCAAAGTTTCAAGTTCATTGGTTAAAATATGGCTAAGTTATGACCATTTCAAAACTCATCGGATACGTGATCCGAGCACTCAGTCAGTGATCTCGTCACTTGGTTAATGGCCTGTTTGGCTCACATGCACCGCTTGATTGGTTGCAGCCTGCTTTTCCTGAAAAGGTCACGATCTGGTGCGCCATCAGTTCTCGTGGAATCCTAGGACCTTACTTTTACGAAGAAAACGGAAGTAGAGTGACAGTCAACGGAGTTCGCTATATGGATCTGCTGGAGAACAAGTTTTATCCTGATCTGTCGCAGTTCTCCTTCAACAACCCCTACCTCACCACGGACTGGTGGTTCATGCAGGATGGAGCTCGACCTCACATCGTTCGACCAGTTCAGAATTTCCTCGCTAACAAGTTCGCCCACAGAACCATCGGACAACATCTTGGAACACACTGGCCGGCTAGAAGTCCTGACCTTACACCGTGTGACTTCTTCCTGTGGGGGTGGGTGAAGGACCAACTCTATAAGAGATATCCTATTGCAAACATCACGCAGCTAAAGCACCACCTGATCGACATCATCCATAATATGGACCCAGCGTTTGCTACGAACGCTTGTCGGAGTGTGAAGAAGCGGTGCCTCAAGGTGATTGCAGCTGGGGGACGACAATTTGAACATCTTAATTGAAATTATTGAATTGTTTTTGTGTGGGAATTTTTATTAGTTGATTTCATTTATTGATTTATCCTAAAAATTTGTGTTTTCCTTTCTAGCAAAGTCATCATCGGTATCCAATCAAAGCCTAATGAACCTCATTAATACACGCTAACGCCTTACTCTTGATCAGATTGGGTGACGAGATCACTAATTGAGTGCAAATATCACTGACTGAGTGCTCGGATCACATATCCGATGGATTTTAAAATGGTCATAACTCAGCCATATTTTAACCAATGAACTTGAAACTTTTGGAAAAGTTTTCAATTATCAAGCCAAATGTGTGCAAAAAATTTTGAGTTCTTAGCTTAAAGCGTTCTCATTTTATGAAGACAATAGTGAAAAAGAGGGAGTGTCACGCCACGCCCACTGTAATTGGGCGTGGCTTACGAAACTTTCAGGAAATCTAAGTTTGACCCATATCTATAATCTCTGAAATTTTGGTGCAATTTGGAGACGAATTACGTGAGTAATTCAGAGGTTGCGTGTGGGTAGTCACTTATGGGCCACCCTGTATTTACACGTCATTCAACTAAAAACTGTGTTAGATTGTTCAACTCTGTTTTGTTGTTGAGTGTTGGTTTCTTTTCAACTAAAAATCGGGATTCTTCAATCTTTCTGTTGATGAGTGATGTTCCTCTGTCTACGATTTGAAGTTTTAGCTTTGGGGGGCCTGTGTGCTGAAGGTGACTTTCCCTGTAGTGCTTTGATAGTGGCTTATCTTCGTAAGATTTTGCTGTTGGGTTTGCTGCACTACGGTAATGCTCGTCGAACCTGCACTTGAGTGGTCTGTATGTTTCCCCACCATAGTTCTCGGTGCAATTGTCTACTTCGAAAGTGATGTGGTAGACGGTGTTTGTTGTGGTGCATTCTCCATCGGTTAAAGCTGCGCATGTTCTGCAGTGTAGCCGTTGTTAATGAGAAGTTGATCTATCATCTTTTCGGAGTACTTCTCTTTTTCTTTGTTGTTAGAGACTGTACATACTCTCAACAGTAGCATTCTTTGTACGTGTTGTATGATGAGAGTTGTAGTGGAGGATGATTGGCTTTTTCTGTGGTTTTCTATAGAGTCTAGAATGTACTATTCCATCTGAGTCGATCTTTATTTCCGTGTTGAGGAAGGGAACAAAGTCGTTCTGATTGTCAGAGTAGTCTACAGTTAGTTTGATAAGTTTGTCAGGGTCTTGTTGTTCGATGAGGTTGCAAAGTTGCTGAGCTTTTCGTTTGTTGGTGGTGGCTCCGTTAAGGTCGTCGTAAAACCTGCTGTAGGTGCAGTGGGCAGTGTTATCCTCAGGTTTACGTAGACGGAAAGTTATTCCAGTTTTCACATCTTGACAGTAGCTAGAATAGTTGCAGGGGTTGGTTCCCATGAACAATCCAAGAAGCTGTAGATAGACTTGATTGTTGTACTTGTAGACAAAATATGACTTTCCTAGGGTTGTCTCTAGTAGTTCTTGTAAATCAGAGAGATGGAGACCGTATGTATTGATTGACTGTCTATTTTCTTTAGCAAATTCCATGACATCTTCTATTGCTGTTAGTACGTTGATGTTGGTGCATAAAGCTTTGACGTCTGCTGTGAAGAGAGTAAAACTCTTCAGATCATTTGGTGTGATGTTTCTAATCCTTCGAAGAAAATCGTGAGTGTTTTTCAAATGTGAAGGTACTAGATTCATCAGACTATCAGAGGAGATAGAATGTGACAGACAAAGCAAAGGATTTTGTGAAAAGGGGAGTTGCAGCCTGAAACAATATGTCTAGTTTTCATTATGTCAGGGTTAAGGGTCTTGATCTGCTCACTTTAAGCATCACTCTTGCAGTAGCGAGGGTGGTGTGATGGCTCATTAACAGGTTAGTGACATCTTGAGGGAGATTACGACTCTTGGCAATGTTCTTGAATGTAGAGTTAACATCGTCTTCTAGAGTTTTAGTTAACTTGTTTATGTACTTTTGTTTGCCCAGTTTATCCTGTAGGTGTTGAAGACCTTCAAATTTCCGTTGCTGACAAAACAGCAGAGTTTGTAGTAATGCCCAAGAAAGATTACATCAGGACAACTACAACTCACCTCGACAATGGAAACGTCTACAAGAAGATCGACATAGGAAAGTCACCCTCAGCACACAGGCCCTCCAAAGCTAAAACTTCAAATCGCTTGAGCATCACTCATCAACAGGAAGATTAAATAAGCCTGATTTCTAGTTGAAAAGAAACCAACACTCAACAACAAAACAGAGTTGAACAATCTAACACAGTTTTTAGTTAAGTGACGTGTAAATAGTAATATTTTCGTTTAAATTTCACTTCTCTGCTCATGCTGTCCATTAATTTCTTTTATCTCTTTTAATCTTTTATCTCCTGTACACGTCACGCTATTCGTTAATTTTCAGATGAGCCCTATTTGATAAAATTTTATCAGTTTTATGTCCATACTTGCTCTGATTTCGTTAAAAACTATTTTACAGTGGATAACTATTTTACAGTTATATATTTTGTTTGAAATAAATTCCGTCGTCAAATTTTGTATGTACATATTGATCGTTATAATTGAATCAATACTATCTTAAAATATGAGTATGACGTAGAAATGTCGATACGTTATTCAGCTATTTATTTCCATTAGAATCTGTCTTCACTGAGTCTATTCAGAAAGAATCAAAAATTTGAATAAAAGAACTATCAAATCGGGAACCGGTCAGGAGGGCGGAAGACGCGTGGGCGGAGGTCGCGTAGGCGGAAGACTTGAGGGCAGAGGACGCAACGGCGGAAGTTTCCTAAAAGGTTGGACACGAGGGCGGAGGTCGCGAGGGCGGAGGTCGATTCCATGATTTGGGCGGAAGTCTCGTAAAACGATCACATGTCCTAAATGCTCGACTGGTAATACTACAAAACCTGAAACATCACACAACGTACTTCAAATTGTATAAATTATATAAGTTATATTCAATCATTTTAGTGGTACTGATTTCGAATTCTTTGTAACTTTAAAAACAAAATACACAGGGTTATAGAGAACGCTTAAAGGTAATATAAATCACAATGTAATCAATCAATTTTGTCAAAACCCGAATAGAATAATATCATGCAATAACATAAACATTTCACATAGCACTCTTTAGCAAATCAATATAGGTTAAAATATCATCCTCGTACGAATGGTAGTTCTGAACTATGCTGAGGATTCTTCTATCCTTGTCGCTGTTGGCCTTCTTCCTCTTAGGCGGCTGCTCTCCAAGCGAATTCGCTAAGATCTTCTTGTCTGTCGAGGACTGTTCCATCTGGACTGCTGCAATGAAATTGTAGATGGTCGGGTTTGCGTGTCCGACTAGAGCAGAGAACTTCTTGTTCCAGGACTCCACCACGTTGTTTGTCCGGTTCATGTTGAAGTGGCTGCGTTCATAGGCATTCCACGTGGACGGAGGGAATTTAGCTCGGCCGGTGCCGGAGGCAGTCGTTAGTCCCTGGATCCAAGTGGTCTGGAAGTATGCCAGGAGATCGTCAATGGCGAGGCCTATCGGTATCTCATCCAGGATTCTGAAAAACGCTTCGATGACGTCCTCGGTGGGGATGAAGGCTAGGAGCATCAGTCTCCGTATCCAGATTCGTGTAGGGGTGTAGTTCTTCTGGCCAGATGAGGGATCTGTCAGGACTTTTTCATACTCCTCCTTGTATCCAAGCCTCCCGACAGCTCTCATGACAGCCTGGCAGATATGAAAGAAGCACCCATCCACTTGGGCTGACTCGAATGTAGACGATAGGGCGTTCCTCAGGGCGAGCTCAAAGTCCACCATGATTCGGTCTGGAGAAAAGGAACCAAGGTTTTTGAGGGCGCCGAACGCTTCCATGTAGATGGGAGTGTCCTTGTGGGTCAGGAGAATGTAGACGCAAGGGAAGCACCAGGTTGAATCCTCCGTGAAGTTCACCATCTCCGCGTGGACAGTCAGTAACTGATAGAACAGCTGCGGTGAGGATGAGAAGGTTGCGTCGATATACCAGCTGCTGCTCTGCTCTAGGGCTGTCAGGTTGTTTTTTGTTGCGAAGATGATGACACGTCGATCGTCCAGGTTGTTGTCGTATTGAAGCATAGGTTCACCGGAGAGGGATCTGCAGTCGTCCTCTTCCAGTTGAAGATCTGCGAGGGATGAAGGTGCTCTGGGTCTAGGGTTTCCGTATCGGCGGGCTCTCTGTGCCCTCTTCTTCACCGCTTGTTCGTTGGGGAGGCGGGCACGTGCATCCTGAGACATGGGACCAGTAACGGAGCAAACGATGTTGTGGTTAGTAGTCATCGTCGTAGCAGCCAGATCCTGGACTTTAGCGAGGACTTCTTTCAATTCACAGTCAGCGATATCAGCGTCGTGGTTATGTATCTGTGTCACTTTCACCAAGGATTCACAAAAAAACGGCGACTTTAAAATACTCCGTATGCACTATGCACTATGCACTATGCATGAACAATGAACATTGTTAACGTCATAGTGGAATAAAGCTTCCTGGGTTCAATCTGCCTCATTGATTTAGACAGTAAACACTTGCACTAGTCTAAGGCGGCCTCTATCTCTCTCTCTCTCTCTCTCATTACGTGAAGGCTAAATCATTATCCACAGTTATGGTACCTTATCCACTAACAAATCATTATCCTTCACTTCACACATTAATCACACAAAACAGTTCACACGCCTAAACTTACCATCCTAAGGATTCAGTAAACATGTTACAAATAACAGGTTACAAGTAAGATGAGTTATATACCACCCGAGCAAGGGCCAAGGACACCAACGTTACTATTCTACTTAGTTATGCTGGGCACCGTGAAGTACCCTGGAACACCTAGAGGAACCCGGACCACTGTGAAGTACCCTGGAGCACCCTGAAGCACGATCTAGGTGCGATCTTTACTCGGACGTGGGCGCCATTGTTAAACAAATGGGGTCCAAATTTTTCGTCTGCTACCGGCATCTCACCCTCGTATTATTCAACAGCCTAGGTTCACATAAACGAGTCTAACAAACAAAACCTGTTCGTTCACCTATCCTTCGAGTCTAGCCTCGCGGCTCGCAACTATTGGCATGCTTTTACATTTTTAAGCATGATCCCAGTGGCATAAAGTGGTTTTCATTCTATAGCACAGTTAATTCAAATTTAAAACAAAACAATAATATCAAATATAAGCTTTAAAGTTATCATCAACTTCACATGCCTCACAGCTTGTCATAGCATCATTCCGATATGTTCCTTCTCCACAAAGCGTTGTGGAAGATAAGAAAATCCCTATAATATAAGTACAGTTCAGATGTTTTACAATAACCCGTGTTTACTTAGCTAGTTTATTTTTACCAGGCTAGATAAGAATATTATTTTTACCAGGCTAGATAAGAATATTATGATCGTTGTTAACTTTTCCAATATACGTACTGTGTACATTCAGCATATCAGCCTGTATCATAAACTGGAGCTCTGGGAAAGTTTTAACAATACTTTTAGTGAATAATCTACTTAATTCCATCATGAGCACAGTACTTGTGGTAAGTATGAACTGCGGTACCTCAAAGGTCACCGTGATTATAATATGACTTACCCTGCCAGAATATCACAATGCAGAACAAAGGCATGAACAACATTCTAAGGATACCAAGCATAAGGTTACTATACTGCACCTTACAAATGTTACTATACTGCACCTTACTGCACCTTACTGCACCTTACTGCACCTTACTGCACCTTACTGCACCTTACATAGTGCTAAGTCTGATTGGCAAGCTGACTGGACTTGGAACGCTAAAGCCAGCTACACTCTTGTTAAGCCTATCTAGTGGTTTACACACTACATCGGACGATGGTGTCGTAGATCTTTCCTTGTGTGCGTGTGAGCTTTTGTTCTGTAGGGTGATATCTCTCCGACCATCAGAGCTGAGATCTTCGCCACCTGAGGAGGTGTAGGATCTATCTTTATGTAGGAAGAAGGGACACAGGGCGTTAATGTGGCCACTGGTCAGAAAACAAGTATTGGCACTAAGCCATCGTTATGGTTATAGGTGTATACTATACAATTGTACATACGGTTTGTGGGTCAACCGGTTTTTTCTCAATACCATTAACTAATCCTTGCTTTAATAGAATAGTGATATTTGTTTTAATGCCTAAGCCCTGCTAAGATCGAAGAAGTACAGGGTATGGGTAGTTCAAGCAAACAACATTTTGTCGTTTACAGAGTTGTTTCATGTGTTTCCTCCAGATTTTCCACTCATTTGGGAAAATTCTGAGTTCTGCCTAGATAGTGGTCCCAATCTACATACTTGTTTAATCTTCTCCTTATCTGTCCAATCTCCATACTTTTTCATTATGTTGATATTGACTACATCCTCATTGACTGTGGGCGATAATAACCCAGACTATTAATGTTTGCTTTATCATATTGTGTAAGTCACATTTCCACGAAAGCAAATCTCCAAATTACCCTGGAGAACCATCTAGGTGCGATCTTTACTCGGACGTGGGCGCCATTGTTAAACAAATGGGGTCCAAATTTTTCGTCTGCTACCGGCATCTCACCCTCGTATTATTCAACAGCCTAGGTTCACATAAACGAGTCTAACAAAACCTGTCCGTTCTCTTATCCTTCGAGTCCAGCCTCGCAGCTAGTGGCCTACTTTTACATTTTTAAGCATGATCCCAGTGGCA